GGAGGGAGAGAGAGAGAGAGATACCCTTACGAGATATGATCTATATGCGCTTTTGCCAGTGTTCTTTTTTTCCCCCTAAAGTTTAGTTCAACATTGAGATAATGGTCATATATTTCATGTGAGTATATAAATGTCCAAGGGAGGGAAAAGGTGATGGCGTAAATAAAGTTTTACCTTTATGGATTTTGGTACATTTCAGCATTACGACTATTACATGTAAGGCTTTTGAACACCATTTTGACCTTTGTATTGTGGCGTAACCGGGCTCTGCCGGGGTAGCGTTCTGCCTTGCAGTCTCTCAAAACCCGGTCCACGCTCTCGACAATCATTTATCAACTATATCTCTCAGTGGGCTCTCACAAAAGTATATCGTGTAAGAAATAACGTGGACTAGCTCTCATTTTACTCACTCCCGCAATCACTGAATGTCTGACAGGAACTCAAGAAACAACACTTGCACAGTATATCTGCAGTTCAGTAACTTTACTCGTTCCTGGTAACGGATCGACCTGTCGCAACGACAGGTCAACACAAAACTGACTGACATCTCACGATGTATATATATATTTCACAATTAACTATAACGCCCTCTATGTCTCACTAAATTACTGGGCTAGTTATGCTACACAGCCCCTCCCCAAGTGTGGGCTGTCCTCGGACCACTCTTTAACAAAACAAAATAATAACATCTCTGAATAATCTTTCGAAAAAGTACAAAATTACTTTCAAACTCCTTAAGTACATGTATACACACTTAGATATAACAACAAAATGATCTATATATACAATAGTAGAGAAACAACAAAAGAAGAGTAGAAAGAAACGGGAAAGTTTAGGTAAGAAAAGGTGCGGGAAGTATAGGACAAGACATCTAGAAGTATTGAAAACATGGGAAAATATATGCTTATACATCTTAAAATAAAATATAACCCTCTTCTTTTTCTTCCGCTATCTAACAAAATACAAAACAATGCATCCCTGAACTATCGTAAATATGAGATATCTGCCTAGTAACAATACAAAATAAGTAATTCTTTCAACTTTGGCAAAGTGTAACATAAGAACTCGAATAGAGTGAAAGAACAAAAGAAGTAAAGGCCGGAGAACGAATGAAAATATGAGTTTGAAGACAAGACAAAGGGTGAAGGGTAAAAAGAATGCAAGATGAACAAGATAAGGCATAATTCATTACAGGTACATAAGTAAAAACAACAAAATACATTAGTTGGAATGGCAAAGTAATGGCTGCTTAGTTTGAGTTTATGGCAAAATTAAATAAGTTGGGTCTTGGTGGATTCGTGGTTCTCACGGGATCTCTCCTGGAGGCTGGGACAGGAACCTTTCGTAGTGCAGGTACAGTCAGTTCAACAAGTTTCGAAGCTTCCCTGTCGACGAGGTCAACCTCCTCTTCCTCTCCTAAAGCTGACATGTGCAAGTTGGCTAGGAGCGTCCTGCTCTACCTTCGTGCTGACTTACACTCGCTTCTAACTAGGAGTCCGTAGGCTGAAGAGTGCCACTTCGTAGGGTTACGACCTGTCCACATGAACTACCTTCAACTGCCGTACACTCGAGCGGATGTCTGCATTCGTTCCTATCGAATAGAACCTCAACTCCTCAAGCAAACCTTATCTCTGGTCTTGTTCATGCCAAGGTATTCACTTTACTTGCCACAATGCAATTCCTTCACAACGACATCTCGAAGCTTAGATGATAAGGCAACATTCAGTTACCCTATAGCCTTGGTCACTATACTCATTTCCTGTCGAGAACGCCTTGCTTCATTCCCAGTTGGGCTCACTTCCTCCAAGGACTTCTCCACCCTGGACTTTGAAGCCATTGCTGACCAATCCGGCCGGTCCCCTGACCGCTGCTTTGCTTCCAGGATCTATGTCGTACTTGACTGAAGGATCTTGCGCCTAGTCTTGGCTCATCTGCTCATTCCTGATGCTGGGTTCTATCGTAACTGTCCTTGCCTCTGCATAGCTATCTCGGGGTACCTCCACTTTCGGTGCTACTTGTTTATCAGAGATTGCTGACTCCTTGAAGTTCCGCTTTCACGCACTGAGGACAATTCGTCACTGGCTTCGCCTTCACACGAAACATTGGTATTAAGTGAGCGTCCTGAACAGTGCACGGTTTTGAAGTCGCACTCTGCTATCACTTGCAGCCACCGAGCCATCGGTCCCTGCAAATCTCGGAAATGTATAAATCAAACGAAGTGCCCGATGATCAGCTGACATCAAATCTCTGACCATTATACTGGGCCATAATAAAGGCAAAACTCCATACAGGCGCTATACTCACAAAATTCACTGTACAGGCGCTATCATTAGTTACACAGGCGCTGTACCTTACATGTACAGGCGCAATCCCTAGCGCCATCTCCGTCTCAGACTGTCGAAGATCCTCATCTCCACGCTGAACCTCTGCTGCAAGCATCACAATTTCATCCTCCATAGTCACTCGTTGAGCAGCCATTATAGGATTCTCTATTATAATTATACCACAAACTCCAGTCAGGCGCTATATACGGCGCTATGTCTGCCGGCGCCTATATAGGCGCTATACCTTCAACGTGGCGCCTACCACTGCCGGCGCCTATATAGGCGCTATACCTCCAACGTGGCGCCTATAGGCGCTATACCTAACATGTAGGTAGGCGCTCTCACTGTCGGCACCTATATAGGCGCTATACTTTCAACGTGGCGCCTATCACTGCCGGCGCCTATATAGGCGCTATAGCTCCAACGTGGCGCATATCACTGCCCGGCGCCTATATAGGCGCTATACCTTCAACGTGGCGCCTACCACTGTATGCGTAGGCGCCAATCTACTTCCGGGTTCGCTGTTGGAGTTCGTTCTGAGCTGCTGCAGCCACGTCGTTTCAATCCCATCGCTGCCACCAGTGTGGCGTAACCGGGCTCTGCCGGGGTAGCGTTCTGCCTTGCAGTCTCTCAAAACCCGGTCCACGCTCTCGACAATCATTTATCAACTATATCTCTCAGTGGGCTCTCACAAAAGTATATCGTGTAAGAAATAACGTGGACTAGCTCTCATTTTACTCACTCCCGCAATCACTGAATGTCTGACAGGAACTCAAGAAACAACACTTGCACAGTATATCTGCAGTTCAGTAACTTTACTCGTTCCTGGTAACGGATCGACCTGTCGCAACGACAGGTCAACACAAAACTGACTGACATCTCACGATGTATATATATATTTCACAATTAACTATAACGCCCTCTATGTCTCACTAAATTACTGGGCTAGTTATGCTACACAGTCCCTCCCCAAGTGTGTGTCAGCTGAAGTGTATCAGTACATATTATTGGCATATATTTTTCTGTATTCTCTTGCAATGTACTTTGTTATACACCCATTTGTATAAAAAAAAAAAACAAGCGATTTAACCAGGGCTGTTTTTGTTTTTTAATTTTGGAAGGTATAAATTAATATAAATTTACGCTTTCATATTTTGTTTATTACAAATGTTCTGGAAACGACTGTCTTAACGCAAAATTATCTCAATATCACTTAATGAAATTAGTGTATAAATATTGATGCAATGATGAAGGACAAAGGCAACAACATAATTGTACAGAGTGTGATTTTTTACAAGAGTTATATTGAATGCCTATACTTAGAATAATTACGTTGTCGTTTAAGAAAGAGTGTGAGTATAGAGGAAAAAGCGGATATTAGTGAACTAGTGAATGATTGAGGAGATGGGCGAAAGGTAGAAAGATTATGAGACACAGAAAGAACACAAGAGCGAAGGAAGAAAAGAATGAATGAATAAACGAGTCTATAACTTAATAAATGCATGAATGTATAAATGAATCGATAAATGAATAAAGGTAAGAAAGAACTTATGCCTGAAGGGGCGGTGATACCGGGGTTAGGAGTATGTTTCCCCCATGACAATCTTAAGGAGGATCTTTAGGTAATATTTTGGTGAAGTAGGTAATTGTTCTTTATAGAGCCTCATCGTTAGGTAATTATGGATATAAGAAGTTGACGAGTAGTAAGGTAGGATGTAAGGGTCATTTGAACATATTTATTTTATGGACATCCACCCCCGGATAACCACCTCTAGTCAACTAACCCCTAGGACAAGTACCCCCTAGGGCAACCACCCTCTAGGACGACTACCCTGCGGGACAACTACCCCCGGACATCTACATCCAGACAACTACCCCCTACGACAACCATCCTCTAGGACAACTAACCCCCGGAAAACTATCCTAGGGGGTAATTGTCCGGGGGAAGTTGTCCTAGGGGGTAGTTATCTGGGTGTTAGTTGTCCGGGGGTAGTTGTCACGGGGTGAAGTCGTCCTAGAGGGTGGTTGCCCTAGGGGGTACTTTTCATAGGGGGTAGGGGTCCTGATACACTACTTTGCACACTCCAGAGCACTGAGTTAATGTGATCTTAGTATTCATACGTTTTTTTTTTTTTTTTTTTTTTTTTTTTTTTTTTTTTTTTACTTGTAATGAGGTTTATGCACAGTTTCAAATCTAAACACGTTCAAGTGAGTGGGCGTCCCTATCGAATCCCTTCAGCCGCCGAGCCTTTATTTTCATCGCAACGTTAGCATGATTAGGTACCTGCCCCTGAGGCCACTTCTATAAACCCGATGACATTCTCTTTTTTATGTTACTAAGCTCATAATAATTAGCTTCATAAAATGTTGGTTGAACCTGAAAAGGGGAGGTTAGTTTGGTCATTACCTTTGTAAAGCCATTTTTTGCATTAATAATTTATCGCGTTATTGGGTCGCAAAACGAAATTAGTAAATACTATAAACGGTCAATCCACAAATATTATTAATTGTTCAGTTGTTCGATAAAAGTGAAATGAGAACTAGATGGACGTTTTTGTAGCGTAACAAAGTCCATGCGTTCTTTTGGAGCTTGGCACTATGCCAGAAGAGGTAGCGCAATTTCAAATCACTGTAAAGAAACTTCATGAACTTGTTCATATTCATTTCGCAAATTACTGCAGACATATAGTAAGCCTACAACTCTCTTTTACAACGGATCGCCAACCTACAACGATATCACTGTACTTTATTTTCTGGATTCTTCTTTGAAGACAAATTTGTGTCGTGTTATTTACTGACTTAATCCCCATCGTCAATCATGATTAGACTGGATGATATTTTAGTGCAGATCGGCGAGTTCGGGCCTTATCAGAAGAGGGTTTTCGCCATTATCTGTATGATTGTTTTCACCGCTTCATGGCAATCAATGATCGTCGTTTTCCTAGCCGCATCCGTGGACCACTGGTGTGCGGTGAGTCTTGATGTTAATTCTTAAATGGCAATGCAACCCTTCTAATAAGTTCATTTGAATGAAAGCACAACAATCAGAGAAACAGAATGGCGTAAGTTTGAAATAAATCGGACCAATATTAAGAAAGTTATGAGTGTTTAAAATATGAGATCAGTACAGGTGTGCGAATCTCAAATCGGCAATTTTGTCAATGGATTGTGACGTAGTGACAGATTACTTTCCCGTTTGTCGCGTACACGAATATCACTTATTTCTGTTTTTCTTCCTAGTGCTTTCACCCTCGGGGCACTACTCAATATAAAAAAGAACAGACCATCCCGAGTCATACATTTATGAAAAGCTGAAATGTTAATCCTTTTGTGTATAAGAGCAAATGGAAAAGTTGTACGCCACTACATCACATAGACATTATCAATTCAGCAAATTTGATTATAATAGCAACTTTCACAAATTTGTAACTATCTATTTTTTTGTCCGATTTCATTCGAACTTTCATCAGTATACTTCATTGATATAGCTGCTTTATTCTAGACACGGTTGCTATCAAGGTTGGATTTCTCTTTAACTTTAATTCTGGACCAAATCATGTTACGAGCACTGCATCAAACCCTAAGCCTGAGCCTAACATGCAATTGCAATCCTAACTCCCTTTTTCAACCTTGTCAGACCCGTCGACGCCGCCCGCTCGTACGTAGCATGGGCTTACTTCGAATTATCGGGACATCGTGGCAGGTAGGGTGGTCGCTTTACACGACCTTTCGTAGATTTTCCTTCGGGTTTTCACAAAATGTCAGGTTAATTGAACAAGACCATTTGTAGATGAGAAGGGTTTATTTCATTTACATTACTCCTGACATTTCGTGAATAAAGGGGCATGTTTTCACTAAAGGTCAAATAGTTTGCAGAATTCAGTCGGGACACTAAAACAGTTTGGAAGCTTGCAATGCAACAAAGTTTGTGTTAAACTCAGCAAAATCACTACCGACAATTCCATAAAAGAATCTCTTGACACCGGTGACGAAAGCTAAATTTTACTGTCATGATTCAGAGACGAACAAAAGAGTGCCCAATCAAAGCGTTTTGGAAGCTCAAGATGATCCCCTTTCTTCGACAGCAAGGACATCATCTACATACTTTATGTTCCCTCTGAACAGAGAGTCAACAAAGAGAGTGAAGAGGTTTTGAGAGAGTTCAGGAAGAGATTTTGTCTCAGAAAGCCAGATCTCTTCCAACATGGTCAGTGGCACCTGTATCAGGAAAATGCACCAGTCCAAAAATCCATCCTGGTAACCAATCGCCTGACAGAAATGGGTATCAAAACTTTCCCTTACCCTTACTGCGCAGTCTAGATCCTGCCCCCTATAATTCCAATTGTTCCCCAAACTTATAGTGAACAACAGGGGCAGTCGTTTTAAAGATACTAAGAAGATGAAAGAGGGTGTAACAAGGTTTCCTTAACACCATCTCTTTTGGGAATTACCCGGGGTTGGGAGCTTGAAAAATTAGCTGGACCACTGCAACATACGCATTGAATAGCATTGGGAATAAGAAAGAACGTGGGCATTGGTAGAATAAACACCTATAAATATGAAATCGTCTTCACCCTGTCATGCCCAACGCTTAACCTTCTTAGATTGCTTGCCGCTCATGCTCGTTAGACTCCAAATTAAAAATGGACCTATGAAATAAATATTACAAAGTTTACGGTTTTATAGGTCATGGTTATTATTCATTAAAATGCTCCTATGCCTTGTGGATTTCAGAAGGAAGCTGCAAAAGATAAGTAAACCCAGGGAAATATTTACATCAAACTGTGTGTGTACTTTTTCTTTTTTATACTCTAAATCACATTTGTGTTTGTGTAACCGATGCCATGTCGAGCGGTTTTCGGTTTGAAGGTTTTAGGAAATTATCCAAACGAATCACGGAAGTGTACTCAAGTACGGGCGGAAGTGAGATCTGTTTTATTTAAATTTCGATCGATTGAAATGCTGGTTTGGCCCCCTTTGGCCTGAGATTGAACAATGGACAAACCGTTCATATTTCATCTTCGTTTTTTTACTGCCTGGTAGCCGATGCTTCTGATGGCCCAGTTACAAACAAGTTCAGAAAAAAAGAAATCACCACAATTCGGTAACGATGGGGCAAATACATTATACCGAGGCTTAGATGGCGCATTCCGAGATGGTGCATCCCGGGGGCACAGCCCTCCCCTAAAATATGTTATTAGGCGTGTTTATCAACGAATTGGTCACCCAATTTTGGTTTATTAGGATGTATAAAGAAGCAAAACAAGTTAAACCCCTGTGACATTGAATTTGTTCAGGTAAAGAGTCTCTTGAGTAATACCTTTGTCATGTTTGTCAAGTATAGTTTGTTGTCCAGAGGAATGAACAAGACTTTTTAACTGAATGGATACTATTTTTGAATTGACGGTAAGATTGGTATAATTATGTGATTGCACACAATCAAGTATCATTAAAATAAATGTTCAGCTCTTTTTGTTATATATTAATCAATAATAATAATAATAAAAGGTTCTTGTATAGCGCTAGTATTTGTCAGACTTGACACTCAGGGCGCTCCCGATTATTACCCTGGCTTTAGCACGGCTGCCATTACGGCGCTCTAGCATTTCATCAAGGAATTATTTCCTGCCAGGTACCCATTTGTATCACCTGGGTTGAGTGTGCAAATGTAGATCAATATCTTGCAAAAGGACATCAGTGCCGTTGCGGGACTCGAACCGCTGACCTTGTGGTCGACAGTCCGCTGACGTATCCACTCGACCACGACACCTTTACAGGGGCATTTGAAAAGTAATAATAAGGAGCAGCTCTTATGTAACTTTCTTCTAAAATGACAAAAAAAGAATTAGAAATCTCGAAACGTATGTTCCATCGTTACTACGGTAGAACGCAGTCTTCACTTTAAAGGGGACGTCCACCCTTATATCAAATTGGTTTAAGTTAAAGAAGAACAAATAGAAAAATAAATATAAGAAAGTTTTAGCAAAATCCTATAAAAAATAGGAAAGTTATGAATTTTCGAAGATGTCATGAGCGAAACACAAATTGACGTATCTTGCGAGCTCCTCTCTTTATTCCACTGTACATAACATTTCATGTTTCTTTTTGATTTTAGTTATTGATGACATACAGGTGTTGTATACAAACTAAATTGACATAATCATATTTTGGGTGAACGTACGATTGAAATTTGTCTAAAGGGAAACTATAATTTTGTTTTAATTTTGTTTTTAGTATAGAGCAATGGGAGGAGACCAAACTTCCACTGACCTGTGACTCTAATGTTTTTGCTTGTAATAACATCAACCTATACGGGATCACTTCCCTTTCAAGAGTAGTACTCATCCTAACCTGATTCGGTTTTCCTGCGCCCCTCGGTGTATATCCTGAATCATTGAGGTACCATTGGTTCCATGTAGACTAAAGCCCCCATCACACCAAACTAGATTTCACTACGTTCTGGAACCGACCTAGAAAATCTTTAAACGGGTTGTGGTCGGGGTACAATGTGTAAAAAATGCCTATAATACGATCCTAGTTCGTTCATAAAGTTAGTCCCCAATACGCCTCTCGCCTGTGTCCCGTCCACAGTCAGTTAATATCAAGTTCTGATCGGGTAAATTTGCCATTTTCAGGCAGCCCAAGCCAGTCCGTAGTCACTTCAAACCCGTTATTAACTAGTTCTACATCGCTACCAATACGACCGAACCCATTCTTACTAGTTCAGAGACAGTTCAGCTCGTCTTCATCTCGTAATTCGTAGTGCGTTCGAACGCGCTCCTAGAGCGTGTGCGATTACGTCCTGGCTCAAGGGTAATAAAACCACAGCGCGTTCTTGCCATTCCATATTTCCTTCAACTTCAACGCTTCAAGCTCTGCAGATCAAGACATTCAATTGAAGCCCCAATCACACCAAACTAGTTCTCACTACGTTCTGTAAAATGTTGCCAAACAGGATCAAACTGGGTGGAAACGGAATCATGACCGTAAGATCAAGTACGGCAATCAGTCCGTTCGTAGTACGTCCTCCTCTTTTTAAGTACGTTGTCAATCCGTCTAATTGCGGGACGGGAAAAATATCAGGCCCAAAGTTCTAGAGCACTCTCCGTATAGCCAGTCCGAGCCTGTACAGTAGTTCTTAAACAGATCGTAAACAGTTGCTACTACGTTCAACTACGTTTGCACACAGTTTGAGCCCGTTTGGTAACATTTTCCAGAACGTAGTGAGAATTAATTCGGTGCGATGGGGGCTTTAGGGATGAAAACGTTTGCATCAACAAAGTGCGTTTCATAAAATCACATTTTTTTGTGACAGGAAAATATTCTTCAATTCAATTCATTTTATTTGCACATTTGATACAAATCACAATAATAAACATACACAATACAAAGTCAATCCAACAAATAACACAACATAGCATAAATATCAAAATGTGGTAGGACAAAAAAAGGCCAAAGGCTTGTCCCTAATCTTTATAAGTAAATAAATATATATTAAGTGGTACAACAGGAAAGAGAGAAACAAGAGAAACACGTTAAACGTACCGCTTTAAAGACTCAGAGGGTGTATGATTTAATAAGATTAGATTTATATATTTCTTTAAAACTAGATAAGGAAGGGTGATTCTTTATTTCGGACCCAAGACTATTCCTCAATTTTGGGCAACTATATTCTATTGTAGTACGGGAAAATTCATACTTGAATTTGGGAATTCGAATGTGGTTGGACTGTGTAGTGGAGTATGGTACAAAAGAACAATTTTCGGGGAAACAATCATTTAAAAACATTGGCAGTAGTCCGTGCAATAACGAAAACATGAAACTGGCTAATTGCAACTTGTGTATATTTTGAATTTCCAACTGTTTAACTTACACAAATAAAGGACCCGTGCGCGCTAAGGGTGCTGAACTAGTAATAATTCGTATTGCTCTTTTGTGTAAAATTATAATTCTTTCAAGATGCGTTGAAGCACAACTACCCCAAATAATGTTACAGTATGTCAAATAAGGTATAATCATAGCCTAAAAATAGCGATTAGAATATGGTGAGGAAAAACTTTCTTTAATCTACTTAACGCCCCAATGACTTTTGATATTTTGCATGCTGTCTCAGAAAATATGATTTTTCCAACTTAATTTATCATCGAAAACAACCCCTAAGAAATTAGTAAAATGTATCAAAGGAATTTAGGAATTGTCAATGAATACATTTATATCAGTTATTTGTATATTTTTATTCCTGGGTCAAAAAAGCAAACAACATGTTTGGGCAAGATTATTTTTTCAATTTGTTAGATGCAAACCAACTAGAAAACCTTTTTGAGCTCAATGTTCAGAGTGTTACATAGATAATCAACATTGTCTCCTGGTAAAAATAAGTTAGTATCATCGGCGAAAATAATTACATGTACAATTTTGCTCACAAACTGAATATCATTTATGTATACAGTAAAAAGTAAAGGCCCTAACACAGACCCCTGTGGAACACCGATGTTTACATTCTTGTTAACGGAGGATTTGTCACTAATTGAAACATATTGCACTCTGTCATATAAATAACTCTAAAACCAATCTTAAGCTGTACCATGAACATCATAGTGTTTAATTTTTTGAAAAAGATGATCAACACAATCGAATGCCTTCGACAAATCCAAGAAAAAAACCTAGAATACACTTCTTATTTTCAAAAAGCGTCAGAGATATTATTTGTAAGTTCAAGTAAAGCCATATATGATGAAAAACTTTTCTAAATCCGAATTGCTTGGAATATAATATATCATGTTTATGTCAGAAATTTATTATAAAACGACTGTACATTAACCTTTCGAACATTTTTGAGAAAAAAGATAGTACTAATGTTGGTCGATAATTCGTCAAAAGCTATTTGTTTCCTCTTTAAAAACTGGTATAACTTTAGCGATTTTCATACTACTGGGAAATATACCTGCTTGTATAGACAGATACAAAAAAAATATTGCATAAAGGCTGTGCCAAAACCACAATCGCCTTTGTTATAACACGTGTGTTAATACTATCGTATCCAGGACTTTTACTGCTGTCCAATTCATGAACAAATTCTAGAATTTCATAAGGTTTAATCGGATTAATGAACATTGTTTTTTAATTGAATTATCTTTACCAGGAAGAAAATTAGAGAAATGTGTAGAAGTATCAGATAAAGTACTTACAAAATCAGATGCAACTGTCCTAAGATATTCATTGAATGTATTAACTATTTCTTAACCGTCATAGACACATATTCCATGTTTTTTCAATATAATCGACTTGTACCTTTCCACAAACTGAAGAAAGTAATTCATTTATGATTTTCCAAGTTGCTTTAGTATTATCTTCAACATCCGCAAATGTGTTACAGTAATAATTCCTATACATTGACGTATTGCACAGGTGACATTATTTCTCATTTTAATATATACCAATTTCCTGTATAAGCTTGGATCTTTGATATATTTTTATTATAGTCTTCTTTTTGCACAGTTTTTTTAAGTTTGGAGGTAAACCAAGGCTTACGTTGGGTACTTACAAATGGAAAACATTTGCAAAAGTTGTCATTAAAGATACGCATTAAACAACTAAATTGATTATCGACATCCGTATTATATGTATGCATATCCCAATGTATTACTATTACCATTTCACAAAATTGTTTAACAGTTGCATATTCGTTAAAATCATCCGCAACTGGAAGTTTGCAAGCTATTAAATTAGATCTGGACTAGCCTATGAAACAAAGTACCATTGTACAAAGGACCTTTGAAACGTTTATAAATGCAATTTTATTGAATAATAAAAAGATTAAGGGTAATCAAATTTCAAGCTAACTTGCACAAAAATCTTAGACTGAAATAATATATGGACTCGTTTTTGACCCGCTTTTCTTCTATCAAATCAAGCTTTTTTCAAAGAGATTTCAGATTTAACTTTCAGACACCTTGGCGTTCAGCTATCCAAATATGATGAACTACTAATTGATGTATTTTATTTTTAACATAAGATAAAGTTGTCACCATTTTCTGCGGACTGAACCATAATATACAGAACTATAATCCTGAATACAACACACTTATAATTCTTCTACAACAGCAGCACCCTCTGCCAAATACGCGTAGCTGGATGCGAATCTGCACCCCAATTGAACCCTTCTTTCTTAGTGTAAAACATATAACCTTGTCACTCTACCCTTTGCAATTCTTGTAATATTTTTTTGTTTAAAAGAGTTGAGGCATCATCATTTCGGAACCGATATCCCACGATGATATATGTGGCAAATGCAACATAATCCGGAAAAACAACATTGATATTAGAATTTATCCTTGGTTTATGAACACAAAACTATCATTTATCGAAAGGTCCCAAAGGATAACAACCTTTGATAATTGCAAGAGCGTTAATTTTTAGAATCGTCTTTGTAATCGGTGGCATTAAGCCTAAGGCCTAAGGGGCGTATAGCAGTATGGGGGTGTTCAAAAACCTGAGGTATTTGTTACCCTTCATTGGAAATATTGTCATTCGGAGGCATTCAACTCAGCCCCCAACCCCCCCCCCCCCCCCACCCCTCCGCCCCATCATGTAGCTACGCCATAATGGAATCTACGGAGGAGAAAGTCTACTGTCCAAAGGTTGCTTACGAGCTAAGTAAGAACGATTTTTTATAAGACACCAAATATGTGACAAAGGGGCGTGTAGCAGTATTGGGGTGTTCAAATACGTGAGGTGTTTATTAAACCTTGATTGAAAATATTGTAATTCTAGTGTCGAAGTGTCGGGATAACATCATACAGCGTGTGGACACGCTGTAGACAGGTAATTGTCTTTTATTTACTAAGCGGCAAATGTCTCGATTACAAGATTGTATTACGAGGGATATCAACGTAAAGCCTTCGATTAAAGCAAGGTCAAAGGTTATCTGCTTATATCAACAATAATAAGGAAAAGGAAAAAGAGGGGTGGAGGAGAGATATGAGGGTATTGTGATGATGAGATGCAATTTAATTTCAACGTCACCCGACTTACATTCATTTTTTCGTTCTCTATCCCCAATAGCATTTTTTAGTTTTTTTTTGTTTTGTTTGACAGGGTAGCCAACTACAAATGTCTGTTTGACCAAGTGGCCCTTTATACATGAATAAACTAATATTACGTTTGTATGAAATATGAAACACATACAGATAATGAAACGTTAATAAATTAGATTTAAAGGAAAAGAAAGGGGAATGAAAGTAAATAAAATCAGCATTACAAAATTAATAAGAAATTACGTTCGGTGCACCTGTGCAGTATATACATATTCAATACAAATGCTTTATACACGCTAGCTATAATATATTGTTTGTTATAACCCCTGAATTCTACCAATCGATATTATTTGTTTGTTTGTTTATTAATTTGTTTGTGTGTTTGTTAGTTAGTTTTTACTCAATTTGTTTTTGTATTTTTCTCCAAATAACTAAACCTTTCATTCGATGCCAGGTGCCGCAATGGAACGATTTCGACTGCAGCGCCGCCGGTCTCAACGAACAAACATGCATGCTCGCCATGAAGAACGCAAGCATCCCTGTCAACTACACGAGCGACCACCAACTCGTCTTTGAGCAATGCATGAAATACAACGTGTCTGGGGAGGCTTTCGATCCGGAAATCGACCCGTTCCACAATCCCGGCTGGCCGACATCGCAAGTCATGGAATGCGACAGCGGATGGGTGTACGACAGGAGTCAATACAAATCGTCCATAATCACGGATGTAAGTTACTTCCCTAATTTATATGACCAAACGCACACAAGTGGCATACTGAATGTATGAGAGGGGGGGGGGGGGGTATACTGGTTAGATTGTTGTATTACATTACACTATATCAATTGGGTTTATACTTGGTCGTCCATTAAAGGTACTATGTCCCTTTTGCAGCCAACCTCAAATTATGTAGAACTTTGCCGGAATTATGAATATGTCATGTATGTCCTATCTGTGAAATTTAAACGTTAGCAGTGTCCTCATATTCAAATGCAAGGAAACACGTTTACTTGCTAGACTTCACTGTCAGACACTATTGAGTGACTGACTGGCTTTTTTCTTCTTTGGTAATAACATACATGAAAAGAGTTGTAAAGGGTACATGAGCATTTGTCTACATCAATAACCCACTTCTTGTGATGGCCAAGATTTAACTGATTGAATCTTTGCGCAGCATAAAACGTATGACCATTCGGTACAATTGTCTGAAAATCAAGACTATTACTTTTGGGCTCTATAGCCCTAAAGTCGATTTGACAACTAATAGTCGTTATTTTCCCACTTGAAGATATTTTCAAGCCCCACCTTTTTTTAGGGAAGTTCTAAATTAGTATTATCTTTCAAATGCAGTTGTAATTTAACTTTTTCAATTTTTGGGCCTGCAAATGGGACATAGTACCTTTAAAGGATATTAAACTCGTATCAAATGTTACCCGTACACAGGAATGTTACTACTAATTTGCCTATTACTATTTGTTACTATATAAATCATCAATTTGCATTATTTTTGCATCAGTATTTCCTTTTTAGAGTACTACTGCTGTCCATTATTAATTCTAATTACTTTATTAACAATTAGTAACAATAAAAACCACCCTTTTCTCTACCTGTCTATAACAAAAGTTTTAACGTTTTGTCTTAACATAGATCAATTAGGTGTATATTTGGCATGTAAGATGTCATACTAGGTCTACTTATATAAGGATGCTAATTGTAATGAAACCTTTATGGAATACTAACAACACTAATCATTCACCGTTTCTCTATCTGTCTCATTATCCCACAAATCTTTTCCATTATCTCGATACAATTCTATTTCATTCGAATGCTTCGGGCGTTGCCCCATTTTTGTCTCTGTCTGTCTTTGTCCTACCTTTCTCTCTCTCTCTGTCTCTCATCCCTTTCGCATCCCTCCTCTCCCTTCCTGCCTCTTCCTCTTGTTTAATGTTTAAATAGTATGACCTAGTGTGCGGAGCAGGAGATCAAACCCAAGTATCCCAATCGGTATTCTACGCCGGGTATTTAGCCGGTTCTATCATCAACGGAGTACTGGCCGATATGTGAGCTAAAACGAGCTTATTAAAAGTGTGTGATGTCCATTGTACTCGAGACGACTTTTAGGTTGCGTTAATACCTACGCTAATCAATAAGCCTATAAGGTGATGATTGCTTGCGCCAGTACTTCAAATCAGTGTTTGCACTGTTCGTTTCACACTTGTTTTTTAAATATGATATCAGTTTATCAAAGACCACTCCAGTCACTGACGTAGTCCTACGTCTGTAAAAATAACGCTTCGTGTGCAACGGACATCAGTTCATTGTACTTTATGTACATATCATTCTTTCTCATTTTCTTTCTTTGTGTGTTCATTATACATATGATGTTACTATTGCTTTAGTTTGACCTGGTATGTGAAATGGAAGATCAGACTCAAATATCCCAATCAGTTTTCTACGGCGGTTACCTAGCTGGCTCAATCATCAACGGAACATTGGCGGATATGTAAGCAATTGATTTCGTTGAACAAATCGCCCACATGAATGTGTATGTGTGTGTACAGATATGATTTTATATAAACAATACATTTATAAAGTCACACTTGTATACACATACATTGTATATATAAAAAAAAAACATATGTAAATCTCTCACAATATTGCAACATACATATATAAATGGCCATCCCACAAAATACTTCATTTGTACTTTCTAAGTGAAATTAGCCTTCATGTCAGTGGCGGGAAGTGTGTATTTTTACATTTGTTTACGTTAAATTTACCTCTTTTTTTTTAGATGCCCCCCCCCCCCTGGCGCTAAAGGGGGGGTGCAATTCTTTACATTTTCGAAGGCCAAAAAAAAAAAAAAAAATAGTGCTCACTATTTCCTTCCCTCCCCCCCCCTCCCCCCTCCCCCCCCCCCCCCCTCCCCCCTCCCCCCCCCCCCCCCAACTGGGCGAAATATTTAAATTTCAAATTGATTTCAAATTTGGGCCCCCATCCCTAAGAAATCCTGGATCCGCGCTTGATTCATGTACATATTATTCTAGGCGGTACGTTTGCCTTAAATACAGTGTACGTCATAACAAGTTATGATCATAATGATCACCGTAATGATGACAATGATCAGTAAAGTTATTTTAATCATCAGCAGCATAGTCTAAATTATCACCATTATCATCATCGTTATCGTCATCGCCTCCACCGTTACCATCGTCATCATTGCTATTTTCATCATTATCATTATCATTGTCATCACCACCGCCATCACCACAACCATCATTTTCATAAACACCACCATCATCATCGTCTTCCTCATCATTATCGTAATTATCATCATCATCATCATTTCATCATCATCACAATCTTCACCTTCTTCTATATTATCTTCATCGTCGTTATTATAAACCACCGTCATCATATGCCATCATTTTCTCACGGCCGTTGTCATTAAAAAAAAAATTGTATCATTGCTTGTGAATTGCATATTTTGCTTTATACTTGTATGTTTAAAGAGTTGGACGATGGTGGATGCTTATGATATTGATGTTTGTCCGGCTAATCTCGGGGATAGCTATAGCATTCTCACCCAACTGGTGGATCTTCACTGTCCTGCGGTTCTTCCAGGGGTACGCTGCTATCTCTATTTATATCATCGCCTTTATCGTAGGTAAGAGATTAAAGGCTAGGTCGACTCCAAAAAATAATTTGATTTTAATAGATGCAGACAAAACAAAAGAAAACAGGGCAAACACAATTTGAATAAATTCGGAAAACTAATAACGGAAGGAAGTTATGATCATTTTTTTTAAGTATGATAAACTATGAAACTTAGAAAATGACTACACAAATTGCCAATTTGGTTTCCAGTTCGTAACGCCATTGCTTCACTATTTATCAATTGCTTTAAAGGCACACTGTCCTACGTGTAGCTACTTGCTCCCTCTATATAGAAAACTTCCCAAATCGGTGCCTGTTGGTCCCCCATGATCCTCTTTTTCTTATGTTAAATGAGAGCTGAGTTAATGAGATAGCCGCCTGTCACAGTGACCTCGATGGCTCACTGGGTGGTCTAATCCCTTCTAGCTTAAGTAGTAGAGCCTCCCTTTAATATATTTTTATTCCATTAATTTACCTTTTATCCCCAAATCCTGGATTTCCTCATGCCTTTGCCATTCTTCAGAAGTCTGTTCCACAAGAAATGTACAGAAAGAAAAAAAATGCTGATGAACATAAGAGGTGTTATATGCAATAATAGTATACTATTAATATTAAACTGATTTGTCCTGCCTCTATTCTATAGGAACCGAGTTTGTCGGGCCATCGAAACGTAATGTCACCGGTATTATCTTCGTTATCCCTTTTGCTCTCGGCTACATTTGCCTCGCGGGCATCGCCTACTTCGTACCATACTGGAGGACTTTAGAACTTATTTGCGTCTCCCCGGCACTGATCTACATTGGCTTGATGTTGTAAGAGGTTTTTTTTTAATCATTACTCTTTTATATATCTAAATATGTAGTGTGGTGTCTATCTGGGTTTTATGCAGGCGTTAGCATCTCATGACACTTAGCGTTGAATTGGTTTGGATCAAAAGATTCAAAGGAAACCTCACCCCAAAAAATAACTTGACATATTCTGAGAGATTCATTATATTCTTGCCCTTTAGTCTACAGGATTCCCACCAAAGTATATGAGCGAGGCATAAAGCAAGAATAATGCAAGAAACGCAGATTGCATAAACAAGTTGGTGCTCATCTGGGGTAAAGGTTTCTCATGAACGATATAGATTTGCCAACTGCTATATATTTATTTTTAAATAAATTAGTTGCGATTGTTACCCTGTTATATATTTCTGTTCACCTATGATTTTCCTCATTGAAGAGTACAGGTTTTATTGATTTTTGTTGATTATCAATTAATACATGTACAAATTAAACTGGTGCGTCACATTTTTAAGAAAATGGCTGCGCACATGTCATGCTAAAAGGCATTCAAATTCATGACAGTCAAAATACGTTAAATACTTGCATTAGATTTAAGATTGGTTTGAAGAAAAACATGTATCACCTTTGTTTTGACGCTGACGATTCACGGTTATATTAAATAAAACCCTAGGAATTTATACCTTTCACTTCACCCAAACACCCAAACTTTCATATTTTTACATCTTACAATGTTGTAACAACGCAAGTCTTTTTTTTTAATCTCCTCTCAGCTTTCTTCCGGAATCGGTACGTTGGCAAATATCGGTGGGAAAGTATGACAAGGCGGAGAAGACTCTAGTGAAGATTGCCAACTCGAACAACATGCCCCTTTCAGGTCCATTCTTCAGCAGTGATTTTAAGAAGGAACAAGTAAGTACTTAAATACAGAAAGAGAATAGTGGCATATGCAGAAATCAATTAATATGGAAACGGATCCTCTCAGGCAAGATGATGAAGGGAGGGAGTGGAGCAACAGATGGAGGAACAGGAGATGGAGGAAGGAAGAGAATATGTAATGAATTTGGCGGTTCCCCGTGCTGTAGACTAAGTTTTGTGGGCGTGTGTGTGTTCGCGCGTGTATAGCTATGGTCACAACTCAGAGCAGTAAACGACCGATTAGTAGCCTACTCGGTCACCGCCGGAATTTAGGCATCGCCCAACGATTTTTGAGAAGTCGAGCAGGCTGTAGAGCCCCAGCGATGCCGGGGCGGTGCCATGTCGATTTTCCGTCGGTCGCCGGTCGATTTTAGGTCAAAACTGGCGAAATCGGGGAGCTTCCCGGGCGATGTCCCGGCAGGTGACCGACTGATGACCAACCGATTACCGAGCGGTCTTCCAACAGCTGATTTGAAAGAAATTGTCCGGCAACCGGCCGGTGTTTGGCGGGGCACCGACCTAATCGGGCGTTCACCGTCGAGCGATTTAGGTCAACAATCGAAGCCACTAGGTCAAAGGCTGTCGACCGATTTTAAACTCCCTGCCCATTGATCGACTGATCTCTAGCGGTCGCCGACCGGGCGGCGACCGCTCTGCAGCCTTTGCCTTTGACTTTGCCTTTGACCTAGCGGCTTCGATTTTTACCTAAATCGCTCGACGGCGAACAATCAATTAGGTCGGTGCCCGAGCGGCGACCGCCCTGGCACCGAGCGTATTTTGGGCGGGAGTGAAAAGTGAGCAGGCACCGCAGAATTTTAACTCCGCGCTAAAACTTCAGCGGCGACCGAGCGATGCCCGAGCGAAATTGGCTAAAAACTCGCCGCCCGGCCGCCGAGCAGGCTACTTTTTTGGGTTGTGACCATAGCTTAAGTGTGTAACTGTGTTTGTGTGTGGTGCCAACTTATAGCGAAGTGAAAGAAAATTCAGACGACAAAATAATGTATTTGTTTTCATAACGGCTCCAGAGCCATCTATGCACAGAGTTTGGCCAACTTGGTTTCACTAGGTCACAACAAGGCGTATATTCTTTTGTTTTGTGCTTGTCCAACAAAGCAGTAGTCGCCATAATTGTGTCAAACTCGAACCGGGTTGGCCAAACTTTCCTAATACAATGGCACTGAACGGCTAATAATGCACTCCCTCCCCGATAAAATAGTTAACAGGTAATTTTCAATGGTGGTAGGGATGAAAACGAAACGATTTCCAGCATTTTTTTAACCTCTGTTAGCCCTAATAAGAAATCGACTTCGTGATGTATTTATTGCTTCTATTCAGTTTCTCACGACATGCAATTCCATCACCAAAGACATGACACATTCAGATTTGTTTTTTAGTTACATAATCTAATGCTCTGTTACATTTAGGATATATGTGTTAATTGTTATTTACTTTAATTAATACTATTGTTATTATTATTATTACTATAGTGAATATCAATTATTGTTAATATTAGTATTATTATGATTATTATCACCATTACTATCATCGATATTATTATCATTATCATCCTCATTATTATTATAATCGTTATCATTATTATTCGTATAGGAGGCCGCACCAAAGGAGAGGCGAGCTACAGGAATTGATCTATTCCGCCAGCCTCGAATGAGACTACGAACCATCAATCTTATCTTTACCTGGTTTGTCCCCTTTAATTTGAACTTCTGATACTGATCTTGCCTAAGGCTGAAAATTAATAAAGGGAAATGTTATTATTAGTAGTAGTACATGTACAAGTATTAATTGTTATTATTATCATTATCATCATCATTATTATATCATTATTATTATTATTATTGTTATTGTAATCATTATCAGTATCAATACAGTTGCTAGCTACGATTGCATTAAGGGCTGCCTAGCAATATAGGCCTACAATGTGTTTATAAAGGACTATATGGCTATTACAGCAGTAGTAAATATTCTAACGCTTGTTATGAATTATAAATTATGATGCAACATTAACACATGGACATTTACTATATACTATGTGACTTCAGTCATAGTTTTCTCTTCTTCGTTTTGTCCTTTATCAGGATGGTGAATGCCATGGTGTACCACGGCCTATCACTAAACACCTCAAACCTCGGTGTCAACGACTACGTCGCCTTTGCAGTATCAGGAGCCGTCGAGATCCCCGCTTACCTTCTCTCCGTGGTCGCCATCGAGATGAAGTTCATTGGACGGAGGATTAGCCTGAGCGTGTGCCTGTTGGTTGCCGGCGTGGCTTGCCTCTCTACATCCGCCATACGTAAGATAATGACATTTCATGGATGAGACTGTTGCTTAAAGGCATCCTTTCAATGTTTCCCTACGTGTTATCAGTGTCTGTGATATGGTGTTATTTTGAAGCCCTATTCATATTGCGCTTTAAAATGATCATGAAGTGCCTCAAAAAAATAAGAATCTTTAAGTGACCGGTTTTACCAAACTGATTTTTCCCGATATACTGTAGTGTTAAAGAAAACGGTTTCAAATCATAAATATCTTGATAATCGGATAGGCGATCGGCTTGTAAAAGTCATGGGATTCCTGACTGACCTAAAGGTTTATAATTATGTTTGCAGCATGAGCTCAATCCAGAATTTTGTTAAGAATCTGAGGCAAAGAGACCAAATCCCTTCAATGTAGTGACCCCACTCCCTCTCTCCTTCTCCTTCTCCTTCCCCTGCTCAATAGAGGGACGGTTTGTTGCACATGCATGCTATAGCTTGAAAAAAGAAAAGAAACTTTCATGCACCTCCCCCGTTATAATGGAATACTTGTACATAAAAGCTGCACGAAAGAAGGCAACATTATTTAACATTTTTTCCATTCACCCATTTATCAGAACTTGAACAAAAGTCTTTAGCGATCACTTTCATCATTTTCTTTATATATTTTTTTATCTCTGTCGTTTTGTTCTCTATTTCTTAAATATTCTTAGCACCCGGAGCAGCGCTCACATCAGTTGCTATGATTGGTAAATTTGGAATTTCGGCATCTTTCGCCATCCTGTATCTGTACACCGCGGAGCTGTACCCAACCAACATCAGGTAAAGCTTGTGTATATCTACACGGTTTGTAAATCAAGGTCATCAATGAATTTTCTTAACACATTTAAGATATAAAGATAAATAAGTGAATGAATATAGATATATAAACAAATAAATGAACGAAGGAATTAATAAATCAATCAACCGACCAATCAATCAATACGTGAAAAAATGAATAAATGAACAAACCAGTCCAGTTAATCTTTCATCCGACTCTAATTTCACTCGGAGAAATAATTATTTGAAAGGGCTGCCTGAAACATGATGGAATTGCGAAACAATTAGTAAGAAAATATACTAGTTGATTATATAATTTGGCACATTGGTTACGGTAGACTGCAAAAACACTTTCAACGTCAGCATCGTATATTGGAGCAATTTAGGTTCCAAAGGAATGTTTTGACATTTAAAATGGTTTCAATTCACTACATCTAATTTAATAAATTTAATACGTCATAAATATTGGGCTACCTTCAAATGATGACGATATGAGTTTACTCAGTTTAAGTTACAATGATTTCTTTGGGGATCACAGGAGCGTGACCATGGGGACCTGCTCGATGTTTTCACGTATCGCCGGCATTATGGCGCCCCTCATACTCACACTGGCCAAGATTTGGACTCCACTACCCCTCGTCATCTACGGGTCTGTCTCAGTGATCGCTGGCCTCCTCACTCTCTCCCTCCCCGAAACGTTGGGCCACAAGCTCCCCGAGACAATCGAAGAAAGCGAAAATTTTGGAAGGTATTGTAAAATGTTGTTCCCTCTTACCCTAACCCCCTCTTTCTCTTTCTCTCTCTCTCCTGCCTGCGTGGTTCCTTCCCTCCTCCTACCCTCCATCTAAATTCCCCCTCCCTCTTCCTCCCACTCCCTCCCACTCCCACCCCTGTCTCTTATCCTTACCGCAGTACTTCATTTTTTTGTTCATTCCTATACAAATAAGACAATCACTCAAGAAACTGAAAAGAGAGCAGACTTAATTTACCACTGCTTGAACCGTGTTTGATAGCTCCTATCAAACAAGCTTTCCTTCTTGATGGTACTTCTCTAACTTTCCATCAGGAACCAAACGAGAAGGGATTTGGAGTGTACATTTTTGTTCGTTAGTCTTCGATTGTTGCTTTTATTTTGTTTTCGGAAGAAGTTGGATGCTTACAGTTTGCGTCTTTTTGTTGTATATTGTACTCTTGAGATCGGGTTGCATGTTCCATTTATTTATGGAGTGTGGAATGAAGCAGGGGCGGCGATCCCAGGGGGGGGGGGGACGGGGGGACACGTCCCCCCCCCCCTCAATTTTTTTTGGGGGGGGATCGTCCCCCCTCAAAATTTGAAAAAGTGCAAAAAAAAAATGTATAGCAAATACTGACTAAAGACTGCAATAAACTTTAAGGCTCTGGACGGCACTGGACGGCACGTGAGTGCAGCGTTTAGACGAATAAAAGTGCAAAAATCTTCTCGCTACGCTCCCTCGCATAATATTCTTCAAACAAGTAAATAATTGTAGAAAAGTGAAGTGTGAAAAAGGTATATTGCTTGTTTTTATACGATTGTTTTGCTAAGGAAAGTTATTTGTAAATACAACAAAACTTCAAAAACCTGTAAGGGGGTAGTCACTTCCGTTACCTCCACCCCTCTCGTTCACTATGCTCCCTCGCACAGGCGTAATAACGGGAGGGGGGGGGGGTTGGTGGCAGTTTCCCTCCTAATAACATTCAAACGTGGTTTATTTCTAATTTGATACCAGTAATTTACAAATGTTGCTGAAATGGCATGGTTTTTCCCTGAGCTTCCGGGGGCTCTGCCCCCTGTACCCCAAAGGCCCTAAGACGGGGCCCTGGTTGCTCATCTGACCGTAATTAAATGCCTCAAAACCCTGAGCTTCCGCATATGGAAACGTTTGCTTGTATTTGTCTCATAAAAGAATATGAGCACGAACTGACTCCCACACGGTGTTGAGTGCTCAGGGGTCACAGGCCAATGGCTTCATCGGGCAGGTAGTTCCATTATGTGAATGGGTAAATTAACTATTACAAAATGAGGGGACACATTACATTGTACAATAGGGACGCACATTGTTTTTATTGTGCAGAACATACTCTTTTATTGACTTACTTATTGCATGAAACTATATAACCAAAATGCATTTTGTATTCTAACAATTGGAGTACAAAGAATAATAACAGGTGAATGAAATGCATAAACACCACAAACACCTGGGGAGGAAGCATTCATAAATTTCAAGACATATTTATGATAAACGACTCCGATGAAACTATAAAACCAAAATGAAATTTGCGTTCTGGCAATTGGAGTACAAAGAATGATAGCAGGTGAATGAAATGTACAGCAACACAAACACCTGGGAAGCTAGGAAGCATCCATAAATTTGAATAATTTAGTTGATAAATGACTCCGCATGTGGACGTTTGTTGGAGCAGAAAGCAGTGGATTCTTAACAACACGAACCCATTTAACATAATGTCGGAACGTAAATTAAATTCGGCGCGGTTGGAAAATGCATCTTTCTACCCTGCAACTTTAATGGTACGATCCAGTAAATTAAAACAATAAAATGGCTCTTATTTTAAAATTACTCATTAAATGAAACCCCAAACTTCAGTGATATCAGAAAAAATATGTTATATCTTACTAATAATTAAAAAAAGATGTATAAACATTGTGAAAGTGTCGCATTTTACGATAAAAGACACCGATTTAGCAAAGATTACGTCATTAGTGCGCTTGCATCAGGGAATTCAAGGTCAAAAGGTCAATTCAGACGCTGATGAGTTGTTGGTCGAGCATTTTTGTTTCCTTTATTCCGACAACATTATACAATCAATCAAAACAAGTTTGATATCAGAAGAAAGCTAACGATTAGTATTTTCATTAACCGCTTGCCCCAAAGTCTCTTGACCACAGTGAAACGAGTGAGAGCTTGCGAGATCGGCCAAAGTGTGATTGAAACTCGCTATTTGCTCTTCTCCAACGCAAAAAGAGACGACATTGTGCTGGATAAATGTATTTTTTCCGACAAAAGTACAGAAAATTTGCATATGGTCTTTTTATATTATACTTTATGAAATGTTACCCGAGTGACTTCCGGGCGCCCAAATGCTGGAAAGAAACGCACATTTTAAAAACTTCACTTTTTCATGGAAAAATACTTATTTGTTCTATGCACGCAAGTCAGATTGAGCGGATGATACAACGTTTCCATATGGGGCTCCGCCCTAAGGCAGGCCCCTGGATACTCATCTGACCATTATTAAATGCCTAAAACCCCTGAGCTTCCGGGGGCTCCGCCCCCTGAGAAGTAACAAGGGCCCCTAAAGCGGACCCCTAGATGCTCATCTGACCGTTATAAAATACCCTAAACCCCTGAGCTTCATGGGGCTACGCCCCTGGGCCCCATGCCAATTTACACTCCACTCGCTTCGTTCGCTTTGCTCTACCTGATCGAAAATACTTTAGCCCACCCCCCCCCCCCCCCCCCCTACTTTGAAAAACGTTCCGCGGGGCCTGCGTGTACCATGTAAGAGTGGGGGTGCGGATTTTTTTTCTTCCCCCCCCCCTAAAAAAAAAAAAGGTTTTTGCTCATTACGCCACTGCTCCCCCGTCCCTCGGATTTCGTCCCCCCCCCCCCGGTCATCAAGAGAAATCGCCGCCCCTGGAATGAAGGAATATTCAAAACAGTTGGAGAGGGTAGGGTATTGAATATAGAATTTGTTGAGGAACGTCTATAACCCGAAACCTAACCCGAAACCCGAAACCCAAATTGCAGCCCTAACCCTATTCATCTTTGAAAGCTGGGAGCAATTATTGTTGCAGTGGCAAATGTTGGATCGCCCATATCACCATATTTGTAATTCTGAGATCTTGTTTGTTTGTTTTTCATTCAGGAAATCTGACGCGAACAATACCACCTCGGGTAAAAATGGCGTCTACATTCTTAACCAGGATGGGCGTGATGAGAAAGAGATTAAAGAGGAGAATGGAGGGGTTAACACCATGGATTACGTTAATCCTTCATTCAATATTCAAGATGAGAATGACCACGGCAAACGGGATAGTGGCGTGCAAGCCAATCTATCGGAAAAATAAAAGTGCTGTACGAACCGAAATATCGCAATGACATAGTATTGTTAACACAATCGATGAGTAATTCGAAAAATCAAATTTGGGGCAATGTCAGTATTCAATTCAATTTAATTAAAACGAACATTTATTTTCTTCCATTCAATTGAACAACCTTATTGACATCTGTTCAAACAATACAAGAGATATAGTTAAAGAACTTGTTTTACAAGGAAGAAGGCGCAAATCCCGATTAGCAAAGCTTGTAATGGGTACGCCCGAATACATAATATACATTATAAATAGAAGAAAGGAAGAAAGGAAGAAAGGAATAAAGGGATAGGCAAGGAGAAGAAGAGAAAAGGGACTTTGGAGGAATAGAAAAAAAGAGGACTGCAACATAGTAGCAATGGAGTGTATGACATGCATAAACAACATAATGGCAAGATATAGATGAAGGGTAAAATGTGGAAATATTTGGCTGTATTTTTTAGGATAATAATAATACTGGATTTATAACCTCTACTTCTGTATGGGTATCAATATCAGAGTAATAAAAGACATTCTTATCGAAGAGTAATATTGTTATAGTTATATAGGATAAAGATATATTTTGATAAAGTGTTTTTGAGATTAACGGGATATATGCACATAATATATACTTCGTTACAGGTACATACATTTACAACATATACATATAAATATATATATATACATATAACCCTACATGGTACAATAAGTGGACATCATAAAAAGCCTAATCCTAACCCTAACCCTAATCCTAAAACCTAACCCTAACTCTAATGTCTTCTTAATGACTCTTTTTTTCACTCCAAATGTCCCTCCAATGACGCCTTTAGTAAAATTACATATATTGAGAGAGATATATCACAAAATTGGGCCTTCTATGAAAAAAATAAAACATAAAAAACGTTAAGAGGACACCAAATTGTCCTCCTAATGACAATGTCTACTTACTGACTCATTTTTCTCTCCAAATGTCCCTCTAATGACGTATTTAGTAAAATATACATGTATGTATGTATGTTTACATAATCATACACATGCATACAATACATACACATCCATACACATCCCTTACACAATAAACACACACTCGTCACCTTAATCGGGTATAGGGCTGATACCTATGCACTGTAATTTAAAATCATACATTGTTAAGCTTCCAAGAGAAGCTTAACACAGATACAGATTTCCTCATAGGTTCAGGTAAATCGTTCCAAAGCTTAGGACCGGTAAAACGAATATTATTTTGAAAAATATGTTTATAATGTACAGCCAATAGATATCATGGTCGGGTTACGTGATACGTCATTGTCATGTTGGCTGCAATGTTTACACATTTTGAATAAATGACGGAGAAGCTTTATCGAAATTGCAAATATACAATTGTATTGGATGGATTCTTTTTCGAAAATCTTTGTGCTCGTATGTGTCCATTGATATTGTATCTTTACGCTGTCGCTATTGAGGGTAAACCATCTTTGCTTAAATGTTCAGATCTCATGCCCGCACAATTATGTTTAAGTAAAGTTGGTAGCCTCGATGAAAATCAGTTTCTTTCCCCACTGTAGAATATTTTTAATTTGATAATTTCTATTGACTGAAACAAAAAATGGAAGGTTGAAACGATGCTAAACACAGTAACTGTGTAGAAATACATTACAGATCATAAAATTAATCTCCTTCTCCCCGGAAAAATTATACTGTTAATGAAAGTTCACTCTCATAGAATTCAAATCATATTAAATTTGTTAACTTTATTACATTGATTTTTCTTTCTTAAAGCGAGAAGTAAATCGGAAGTTGAATGTACGACAGACATATTACAACGTAACTACATGACTTATTATGTCTATAAACATTGTGGTATGGTCCACGGCTTATATTGTGAATGAAAGTTCACTCTCATAGAATCCAAATAAAGATGGCATAACTGCCACAGTATGAAAACGACCAGCCACCCTGTTGACAAGTGTGAAACGTATTATCTCTCTATTTCTCTCTCTCTGTCTCTAGGGTATCAATAATCTCTTATCTACTAATGTGTTATGGCCCTTTATATCAATAGCAATATTATGTATACAAATGTTTGGGCCGCTATAACATTTAATACGTATTTATCATAAACTCTTAAAAATCACATTAAATTTGTTTACGACAGGTTAAACGTTGAGAAGCAAATCGGAAGTTCAATGTACGACAGACATATTACAATGTGACTACATGACTTAATGGCCCGAATTCACAAAGCAAGGTTTGAGCTCAAACCTCCTTTTGTTTCGCCAAACCTCCTTTTGTTCTATACAAACCAGGTTTGTAAAAAAACGAGTAAAACGCGTCATATGACGTACGAAAACCAAGGTTTGTCGACAAACCTCCTTTGTGAATTCGGGCCATTATGTTAATACACATTGTGGTATAGTCCGCGGCTTTAACAGGATGCATGTTAATAATATAAGAGTTTTGTTTCTATATTCTCTTGCATTGTAACTTGTTTATATACCCATTTGTAAAGTGTAGAAATAATGATGGAATAATAAAGGACAGCAACGAATTGTACAATGTGTGATTTTTTGAGAAGAATTAAATTGAATCTTTGAATAATTACGTTGTCGTTTGTCCTGTAAAAAAAAGAGTATGAGGAAAGAGAGAATGATTACCGAACTAGTGAAGGAGTGGGGGATGAGTGAGAGATAGAAAGATAAAGAAACAAAGAAAGACAAAATAAATTTATTTAAAGTGACAACTTGGAAAATACAAAGAGTAAAATCTGATGTTCTCAATATAAACTCTGCCGCTCGGATGAATGTTTTGATAGGGACCCCATCCACCATCCGGTTTTCGATTTTATTATCTTCGGGGGAAGGGAGAGGGGAGGAGAGTTGTGTAATTACGTATTAGCGCCTGGCTTATCATAGTGTATATATTTATATATCATTCAATCATGTTTCTGTCACTCTTGCATTTATTTTTCAAGATAAACGTTAGAAATCATATTTTGGGGACAGAAAAAGATCAGTAGCTAAATAATGGGACTTCTTAAACTGACCAAGTGACGTAACATTCGAGGAAACGTATACAGAGTGAGCAGGTCAAGCCTCATCCTCGTGAAAAAGACTTTACATTATCTGTGGCCCGGCCCCTCCACTCAGTGTTATTTAGGGTACACATATGCATGTTCCCTCCTTTTGAAAACACCCCCTAAGTCCAGTGTGTAAAATCTTTTTTGTGAATGTACGAGCCGGACTTTGGTGCGTGAAAAGTCCCCCTTTACCGGACATTTAGGTAACACGCATGGTATCCCTCCGTTCACGGAGTGGGGGGGGGGGGGGTCTGTGGTTAGTTCTACTTATTACTTCTCACGCTTGGCGGGGAGGGAGGAAGGGAAGTGGTCGCTGCAAAGGGACCGAGTGTGAACATTTCCATTTTCAAATGCAACTCTGCATACTCCAGACAAGTTAATCTGAAAATAGTATTCATCGTTTTCTTTTCACTTGTAATGAGGTTTAAAAACAGCCTCAAATGAGTATTCGAATAATTTTTGGCGTTCTCTAAACGTCTGGATGAGGAGTCTTTGAACACGTTCAAGCGAGAGGGAGTCCCTATTGAATCCCTTCAACTGCTGATCCTTTTCTTCATCGCAACGTCAGGTACCTATCCCACTACTAAAACCCTCCCTCCTCCAATTCCGGGATCGGAGGGACCGCATGTGTTCCCAAAATCTCCTGTAAAGGGGTACTTTTTCGCGCGACAAAGTCCGCCCCGCCATTGACTTTCATACCAGAGATAGAGGGTGCTTTCTTTAAAAAAAAAAAAAAAAAAGGGAACATGCCTATACACATACCGTAAGACTGAATGGAGGAGGGGGGGGGGGGGCTAATTCGAAACCTGATGACATTCTTTTTATTATGTTACTAAGCTCATAATAATTAGCTTTTATAGCGGTTTATTTGGTAAACACCACTGTAAAGCCACTTTATTTGTATTCAGTCGCAAAATGAAATACGTCAATGTTAACTCTGACACTCAATCTACAAGTATCATAAATGTTATCATGAATCATAAAAAGTGAAATGAGAACTAGAAGGACGTTATTGTAGCGCAACAAAGTCCACGCGTCCTTCTTAAGCTTGACACTTTGCCAGAAGAGGTAACGCAATCTCAAATCTCTGTGGAGAAACTTCATGTACATTTTTCATATTTATTTCGCCAATTACTGCAGACATAGTAGGCCTTTTACTCTGTTAAAACGGATCGCCAACCTATCAAATTATCATTGCACTTTATTACTGGATCTTTACTGGATCCTTCCTAAAATCAAAAGTCTTCCTTGGTGAAGACCAATAAGTTTGTTGTTTCTTACTGATTAAATCCCTATCGTCAATCATGATTAGACTGGATGATATTTTGGTGCAGATCGGCGAGTTCGGGCCTTATCAGAAGAGGATTTTCGCGATTGTGTGTATGCTTGTTTTCGCCACTTCATGGCAATCATTGATCTTCGTTTTCATGGCCGCATCCGTGGACCACTGGTGTGCTGTGAGTATTAATGTTTATTATTAACTACTATTCTTGACCAAATCACGTACCAAGCCCTACATTAAACCCTAAGCCTAAATCCAATTGCAACCCTAACTCCCTGGTCCGACCTTGTCAGACCGAATGCCGCCCGCTCGTACGTAGCAGGGGCTTACTTCGAATCATCGGGTCATCGCGTCCTGTCGGATGGTACATGTACACGACCTTTCGTGATACGAAATCTGAAGATCACGCGACCTTTCGTACATTTGCCGTAGGGTTTTCACAAAGTGTCGGGTAAAGACCATTTTTAGACCAGACCATTTTTAGATGAGAGTGGTTTTTACATAAAAAATACTTCTGAAATTTCGTGAATAAAGGGGCATGTTTTCACTAAAGGACGAAAAGTTTGCGGAATGCAGTCGAGACGCTACGACAATTTGGAATCTCGCAATGGCACAAAGTTTTGTGTTGAACCTTGCAAAATCACTAAACAGACACAAATTATGAAACGCTCCATCAAAGAATCCCTTGTGATCGGCTATGAAAGCTGTTTCTATTATTAACAGAGTGCCCAATGGAAGCGTCTTGGCTCTCAAGAATCAAGAAGGCCAGGCAGGCAGAGACATTAACTATGACGGTTATCCCCCTTCCCCGCCCACTAGACCTTCTCCTTCCAAAAAATCAAGGGCTCAGTTTCTTTGCTAGAGGGGCGTCGGGTGGGTGTACGTGCCCCAAATTCGACAGGCCAAAAATGAGGAGAATAAAAAAATAAAATGAAGGAGATTAATAAAGGGAGATGAGAAAGGAAGCTGATAATAAAATCTCCCACAGTTTTTCCTCACCCCGTAATTTCCTTGTTATTTTGCATTTAATACAACTTGTATTAATACGTATCCCTCCTATCGTATTACTGATGCCCCTATGGCTAGGCCAACATTTGCTAAAGATTACAAAGACAATTTGTTTTCTTCAAATCAATGCTCCTACAAATATCAAAGATTTATATTCTTTAGGAGTATGAGATAACTGATAGCGTTGTGTTTATTCTCC